CGCTATGGGAGGCCCCCCTCATAGCGTAGAGAAATGTGTCGTTTTTCTTAGACGGAATCTAAACAGCATGTAGTTTGGAAACCCTTGGTACAAGTGTAGCGGCAACCCGGGTTCAAATAGTACTCGGAAATTTAAAAAGCTCCTGAAACCGAAATTTACCCTTACGTTCATTTATTATTTGCAAATCTGATTTTTACAGTTAGTCGGAAAGGCGCCCATGTAAAAGCCGGCACTATGTCAAGACTGATGTGTCGTGGGATTTCGACAACATGATACTTGATGTTAAAACCCCATTTCAGTTATATTATCTAAAGGAGATCACATTTCTGAAATCCAGCTAACATTCACTTGAAAATAAGATTATTTTTTTTATTAAACACTGGAACACGTTCTCCATTATGTGTTCTTTCGGACCTGTTTCGTCAATGCGAAGACAATTTTTAAAATAAAAGCTTTATTCAGCTCCCTAACAGTGGAGTTAGGGGTATACTTTACGGTTTAGCAAGAGAAATAGACGCGATCGCTGGAGCAATACTTTATTCGCTTGACGTTTGGAATTCCTGTTGGAAGCCATAATCAGAGCTATTATCAGATACGCGTAATAAATACACAGGGAATTGCAGTATTTATAGGATGCTACCACATATCTATAACAATTCACGTTTCTCCCCCTCATCGAAGATGCTTGCCCTCTGCTGCGATAATTGTTTGATGCTTGTTCCAGCAATCACCCCTGCTTCTTCCCAACTGCTTCCAGGGACTCAAATTTTCGGTTTTGTCGGCAGTTTAACAGGAGTCAAAACGTCAAATTTTTGAAGCTAAGTCTCCTCTTAGCGTTTTCAATTCACCTATTACCAGTAAAACAGATTAAAGAAAACTGAATATTATGAGGCTGCTTAGTCGTGAATAGCAAGGGTCGGATGAACGTGTCAACAAAGACCGTGATCTACAACGTCGTCTGAATTTGACGAAGAGACTAACCAAGGGAAAAGCACCGAGGACAAGGTTGGTTGTAGACATTTGGGGACTCATCGATGGAGGCAGCAAACAACAGTACATGGTAGTAATGCTCGATTTTCATTATCTTTCCTATATTCAGACTCTTAAAGGGAACACTCATCTGTGCCCCGTACTGTCGGATAACGCAACTTTTTTATCGAGCCGTCAATATCTTATATGGTGGCATATTACGACCTGCAAAGAAGATGACTGAAGATGAACTTGCAAAGATGTGAACAAGGTCAGGGTGACCGTACGGTGACGATGGACAGATATGTTTTTGAAAACAACAATAACAACAACATAACACATACTTGTTCATCGGCTCCACCAGAGGCGAACAAAGCGCCGGTTGAGGAGAATCCAACAGCAGTAGCAGCACCCCTGTGACCATTCAAGGTATATAAAGGTCGACCTTCAAGCAGATCGAAGATCTTTAGCGTCGAATCCTCAGAAGCCGAGAGGAGGTAGTGTCCACTCGGATGGAAACTGACTTGTTTCACGGAGGACGTATGGTCTGTTACACAATTGAGACTTGTTATGGTTCATACATAGAAAAAGCAGTAATTATTTTTAAAAGAAGACCGAAGGAAGTTAAGAGAATCACGTATAAACTATTATGACTACTCTCCCTCTTCTGCTCTAGGGCTAATTATGCAAGCATGAAAGAACTCTACTAAGCAGCCGGCAAACGTTAACATCACATAACTACATCTGTCAGATGTTAACTGCTGACGACTCCAGATAAAATCACACTAAGTTGAATAAAGCAAGTCATTCTGACCGTTTAGACGTGGAAACCCTTCATGAACATAGAACGCCATCATTGTGTATAGACGGGATGCACTTTACATGACATTGTGTGCAGAGACAGAGGTACAACTGGTACTACCTAATGTCTCGACATTCGCTCTAGATAATCATCTAAGCCTTGGTCAACGAATAACCAAAGATTATGCACAGCACAAAAATTAAATTCAAAAGTGCTTTGGAAAACATTAAGAAGCAGCTTGACCTAATTGTGGAAGACTCGGCGGCCTCGGTGAGAATCGAATCCACCAAACCAGGGCAGGGCTCGAGTTTATCTAGTGCTCTGACCATCTAAGCTAAGAGGCCCTATCGAGAGGCATGATATTAAGTACATCTAGGTCAAGTTACCCGCTCAGGATACTGCAGCGTATGAAATCAACCAGAGCCACCGAGTTTCCCACAAAAAATACCAAAAAACTCCTTAATTAAGCGAGCCTTGCAGTCAGCTGTTGGATTCTAGTGATTTCTTAGGCAATCTTTCAGTCTGTTGTACCAGAATTGATGAATCTCATATGTTGCATTACGCTGGGTGGATAACTTGACCACATATTATTAAATCCAAGCCTGCAGGTGGGGCTCCATAGCCCAAGTGGTACGAGTATTGAGTGCAAGCAAGCCTTGTCAACAAAACTTGACTTCCTATCTACAAATAAAATTGCTAAATCATATGCAGGAAATGGAGAAGCGTCAGACTTTGGCCTGCATGCGCGGTAACAGTTAAATTAAAAATCTTAGACAAAAAAACGAGTGTGTTCGGTAGTTAGTTTGTGTTAGAAAATAAAATAAAGAATGAAGACCGCGACCTCAGGTAGAGTGAAAGACGCGATGGTCGTTATTGAAAAGAATTAAGAAACCAGTACATCGAAGTAAAACTATGTATACGTCAATTGCGTCTAGTTGAATTAATAAGATTACTAATAGGCATACCATTGTAATGCTGCAGGAGACGTTTCATCCTAAGGTCCCAAATTTTGACCGAACAATTTGTGCCAGCAGAAGCAAAGCAGTTCCCACTAGGATGAAAGTCAAGATGGCTGGCAAAGCCACCCTGTTCAGTGAAAGTTTGGACGCAATCCTGGTTTCGGCAATCCCATAGGCGGATTGTTTTGTCATCAGAACTCGACAGAATCAGCTGACTGTCAGGCGAATATCTATTGAAGTGTTAAGATGAAATACGTCGGACTTGCAGCATCGAACCCAGTTCACGTGCTTGTTGAGAGAATAAACAAACTTTTGTCTGTGAATGCTCCATACCTAACAAAGGCTCAAACTCATCGTTCACAAACCTTAACAGACTTGTCAGCGGAAGCTGTACAGAGATGCATATTATCGGAGGATACATCCACCCATCGAACAGCGGCCGAATGAGCCCGAAAAGTTACTGATTCGCCTTTTCTAGATATATGTTAGAACGAAAACATTCACTACACGCTGGGAATCCACAATCTGACGGTTCTATCTTTGGATGCTGACAGCACAAGTTCACCATTGGGAGAAAACACTGCACAAAACACAGCATCCTCATGACCCACGAATCTGTATGCCCTTGTTTGTGGTTTGATGTTCCAGATCATCAACGAACAATCCATTGACGAGGTGGCTAAACGAATAAACGTCACTAACCATGAATACCCAATTGTTTGCCATTCGAGTTGAAACTGGCGTTTGTGATTGCACCCCGGTGACCTTTAAAATGAATCTGCAAATTAGGATCCTCCTGCATTTTGCTAGGAACGCAGATGAAACAACATAAACAAAATCAAATCGCCCGGTGTAAACTAAAGTGTAACGATGTTTAAATGGTCACCGTCAAAACAACGCAAACGAAGGTCATCGTTTTTCAGTGAATGGCCTATTTTTATGCAAAATATTAGCAAAGTTGTCATCTGAGAATACTCAGTTAGGACTTCTGGAAAAAGTGAAGCAGGGCATTAATCACTACTGCAATCATAATAGATGGCGCCGTTGGAACAATTGGATTCTTCAAGTTCCGAAATTACCCCATAGAATTAACAAAAATATGACAGCTTTTCGCAGAGGTATGTGTAGAGGCTAGATCACTACAAATATACAAAACGTCTTAGCAAATACGCA